TTAGGGTGTCGACTTAGCGAGCTTTTTATTTTTTTTATTCTCTTTTGGGAACAAATCATGTGACACTGGCTTGCCTGACTTATTTGAAAGGATTGTGACCGCCTTACTCCTTGGTTGGCGAGGGATAACCATTGTAATTTTTTTACGTATGACCTCTACAGGTGTGATTGATCCTTGAATGGGAACACTCCTTTTGCAACTTGGATGCTTGGTCAAATTAACTGAAAACTACCCTACCCTAGGCTAAGATTGAGGGTTTTTTGTTTTTAGAAAGGAACTCCTACTACTAGGCTCAAAGGGGTTAACAAGGGATTATCTTCCTTACATCTCCGATGTTTAGGGATTTGAAACAATGCCTGTATATCATCAGCAAAAGTTGTATTCCAAAGCATACAATTGGAAGTTTCGCGTCTTTCAAATTCGTCATCCTCCCTCGGATTCTGCTTAAATAAGCGTTTGACATTAATAAAAAGTATTGAGTGAACACGAATGGATTTAATCAAAAAATGCATATTCATTTCATTATCATTATCATTCGAAAACAGACAAGTTTTGCAGATAAGATTCGCACTTTAACAGAAAAGAGACTACAAATGCAAAGAAATGACATGATATAAAAGGTTGCCAGCTTCGGGAAACTGGGATTTCCAATCTTTATTTGCTACTAAGCTAGCCATCTTCAAAATTGCTCGTCAAAGTCAGTCTGATACTCTTCTGAACATCTTCTCTCGGTGAATTCCTCCATAACATGCACTGATGAACCCACATGACTGGATGAAGGCGGATTATTGATCTGAATACCCTGAGGTGTGACTGAGAACATACTGGAGTCAAGTAGAGTCTGAATTTTGCTCTTAAGCACCCTAGAGTCTTCAGTTGAATGCCCCTGTACTCCAGCATGGTAATCACAGCGGACGTTGACATCAAAACCTGATGGATATGAAGGGATCACTGGATTAATCTCCTTCGGCACTATCAGTCCATCTTTGATCAAATCTAGAAACATATGATTATACGACATCGGCAACTGGGTGAAATGTTTCTTTGGCTTCCTAGGTCTTTGTCAAGCGTGCTGATGCGGCTGACGGTGGTATGACCGTTGACTCTGGAGGGAAAACGATATCTGATATAAAGACCCAGAAGATTGCTGACTCTGAACAGTCGAAATATCTGAAGACTGGATCGGAGGTATCGGGAATTCCCATATGGAATTACTTTCTTTCTCCCATTCTTCCTGAGAACTGACAACTGATTCGCTTTCACAAACTGAGATGTATGAGGTATCTTGAATCTTTCCACTCTTGAGTCCGCTCTCCCAATTACTATCAAGTCTGAAACGTTTAATGCACCATTACCAATCATCTTATCCAAGTATGTACCTCGCAAAGTACCCATGAATAGGTCAACCAATTCTCTATCTAGAAGTGGTGGTTGGATGCGAGCAGCTAATTCTCTCCATCTCTGAACATACGCTCTGAAAGGTTCATTGTCCTCTTGAGATAAGCTTTGCAACTGCATGCGACTGGGAGTCATGTCGAGATTGTAATTGTATTGCTTCACAAAGGCATTGGCTAGGTCTAACCATGATCGGATGCAACCACTCTCTAACTGCATTACCAACTCAATGATGCCCCACTCAGACTATCCTGGAAACAATGAATCATAAGCTTGTCATCATGGACATACGAGGTTATTCTTCTGCAATACATCACTAAATGCTGCTTCAGACAACTATCTCCTTTGTACTTCTCAAAATTCGGTGTCTTAAACTTCGGAGGCATCACAAGGCCTGACACCAAACACATGCTTGAAACATTCATATTAAGAGTATCATGACCCATTAGGGCATCAAGGTTTTCCTCCAACAAATGATATCTTCTCATAAACTAAACAGTTTGTGAGTCTTTAGGATTAATCTTTGGAACATCCCCTTGAAAATCTGGCACGGAGAATGTAAAATTATGATAGTTTGTGTTATTAAGAGAGGATGAATGTCTATCTCAAGCAATGGTACGCTCTTGTATAACTTGATCTTCAACAGGAATCTGCACAGGCTGAGCTTGAGCAACATTGTCCACTGAAGGTGGAATAACATCCTCATTAACTAGAGTCCTCTGAATATCAGCCTCTCCCCTTGTCATAGCTGTCATGGCTTCCATGAGTTGATCTAACTGATTCTTCATCAATTCAAACTCTGCCCTCGTAACAACCGAATTTTGTTCTCCTGAGTTCATGATTCTTCCAAAAGCTAATTCAAGTCCAATGCGAGTGTTGGAAAATCAACTGCGGGTTGGACAAAAGATGGGTGAGCTCTCTGTTCTGGCTAAGGATGGATATGCAAAAATGAGATGTTAATGCAACAGACACGGGATCAAGGTCACAGATCCTGCAAGATAACACATCGAGATATCTCTCACCTCGGGTGGGCAATCTACTAGTTTATAAGAGGGCATCCCAAAGGCTTTAAACAAAGTCATATGCCTTAACCCTCAAAAGTTTTCCATCATAACGATGATTCGTAAGACGGTAATCCCTTCAAAGGATGAACACAGAGTTATGTCTTAGTGACCTTCAGAGTCCTCAGAGTCACGGACTCCCAGGTCAGAAATAAAGACGCCATTACAACTACTCGTAAGACATAATCATCCCAAAGGGGCCTCATCTGAGCGGTGGAATTCAAACTAACTCAACGAGTCCTAAGTCTCACAAATCAGAAAGAAACCACCTCCTAACTTTGTGTATACTAGAAAGCTCGGGTAGAAAGCTTTTACCCCTACAAACTAATCCCCAATAAACTGCAACAGGTAAGAGGAACACAACATAATAAAACAATAAGACAAATAAAACACAAATGCGACAAATAAACTAGGTTTGACTTGCTAGGAGGTCCCCAGCAGAGTCGCGAGCTGTCGCTACTCGAAAAATGCAACGACGAAGAGGCGAGAATGAAAGATAGAAGATTCGCCATTGAACTTTATTTATCCCATAAGGGGAAGGTAAAACATCGAGAAAACCCTAAGAAAGAAACAGATAAGATGGTCTCGCAACCAAGAGAATGCGTTCGGAAGCCGGTTATGCGAAGGGAAGGTATTAGCACCCCTGGCATCCATGGTACTCGATGGGAACCATTTGTTTGTCTACGTGTGAAAGTATCTGCTAAAGAGTATTGCTTTCTAAGAGTGTTCCAAGGGATAAAGAGAGGTTAGAAACAAGGAAAAGAGAGATAAAGGGGAAGAAGAGAGTCGGTAGGACTTCGCGGTCCTAGGCCTACATATTCTCAACAGATATGAGAAAGTCAAAGTCAACATAGTTTGGGGAACTATGGATAATGGGGGAAAGGTTGTTCACCAAGACATCGTCGTCTTGTGCCTACGTATCCTCATTTGGTATGAGAAATTAGAGCAAACGTAGTTCAGGGGACGATTTACTGGTATTTTGGTGGATGATGCTAACGTGTGCATTCTAGAAGTTAGGTGTATTGCAGCTCACTTGTGGAGTCTTAGGTGTTACCTGTCTGTGGTATAACAGACATAACATATCCTTTTGGAAAGATTAGTTTTCTCCTTCGATAAGGTGAAATAGATCCTTGGATAGTAACCCCTTGCGGGTAGTAACCAATTCTTTATCTCAATAGAATTATTGTGAAAAGGTGTGGCAAATATAGTCGCGTCTTTATATTGAAAGATGAGTATCGAGACCACACACTCTATAGTGAATATTCCGAAACTCAGAGAGGAAGAAGTCTGCACTCAATCCTCTCTTTTTAGTTCAATACAAAGAGAACTTTTTTCTCTTTATTAAAGGTGTTTGATCTTGAATGGTAAGTGCTTTATGACAAATAACCTTAAAGGTAATGTCAAGCACTCGGGATAGGAGAAGGCCTACGCCTAACCACTCCACAACCATTCAAGTTTTATCGAGAAAAGAGTTTGAAAATGCACTTGGTGCGAGACCAAGGTTTTAGGAGAAAAGAGAAAAGGAGAACAGGTGGTGAACGACAAGAAAACACGAAGCAACGCAATCATAGACATCAAGTATTAAACTCAAATTAATATTTACGGAAGAATATGCACAAGTATCGTTAAAGGGATATTAACAAGCTACTCGAGAATTAATTAAAACTGAAACCGAAGTTAAGAAAAGAATTAGTCAAAATTAAATCAAAGCGTAAACCTATGTTAATCCAAAAATTAATTTCTAATTTAATTCTAGCCTAAAGTTAAATTCTATTATTAAAAATAATTTCTAATATTAATTAAAATATAATTCTAAAATAACTAAAAAATAGAACAAATAAATTCTAAAAAATAATCCTAAGTTAAAATTAGCTAAACTAATCTAATTTCTAGAATTAAATTCTAATTCTAAAATTACAGTAAACTAATTAAGATCTAATTAAAACCTAATTGAAATCTAATTAATATCCTAAATTCTAAAGTTAATATCTACTTAGAATTCTTTAATCAAAATTATCAACAATTTTAATCAAGAATTAGCCAACAATTATATAACCAAAGTCATCCATATTAATTTAAAATGACCCATTAATTCTAACTAACTATAAACAAATAAAAAGGTCATAAAGAAAATTAATTTGAAAAGATAACAAGGTGCATGAATAGTAACCACAACTATGAAATGTAAGGGATCTCTTCAGTGAGTTGGGATATAACACGAATAATGGCGAAAACTTTTAGATCCTTCAACTGAATAGGGATTGACGCAACAAAGGCAGCTTCAATGGCAAAAATAACACTCGGATCACCACCACAACAGAAATCTCTGTCTATTATGATTTGACCTTTGGTAAGACTTTACACATGAATGCCTTCAACTTTTAGAGCTACGTTTCCAAGTGACACCTTGTTGAACTTCAACAAAGTAATTCCGGGAGGTCTGTGCTCTTCCAGTAGAGGTTCCACTGACTCTCTAATAAACAACGTTGCGGCTTCTGCCACAAATGGTCAGAGTTTGCTCAGGAGCTTATTTAACCAGTTCACCTACTCGTATACACGGAAAGATATCCATTCGGGAAGATTTTCACCATAAATTCTCTTCAAATCATCTCTGCTGAGGGATCCAAGGAGTTTGATGTCCACGACCTTAGCCATTCTCTTGGCACTTCTGTATCTCATCATACAAGCCCATCCAACCATCAACGTTGTGCCGAATAACATCCCCATGAAAATCCCAGAAATCAAACCCATTTTTCTAGATTCCAAAGTTTTTTTCCCTTAGCAGATGAACAACAATTGGAATGAGATTCTTCAAAAGGACCAAAAAGAGCTATGAGTTGTTATGGGGTTTTGGTTGTTTGAGTCTGTGTAAGGTGTTGAAGGAGAAGTTACAGATGGGTTTGTAGAGACGCCATTGTTGGGTAGAGGAAGAAGAAAAAAGGGTGAGATGAGAGAGAAGATGAGAGAAGGTGACGATGATGATGAATAGGCGACTGTGCGGTGGATTAGGGTTAAGGATGGAGGCCGTGTTTGATTGAGGGAAAGTCTAGGGTTTCTCCTCAAGAAGATGATGAATAGTGGACTTGCTTTCTCCCCTTTTATCGTTACCTCCTCACCCTCTTGCCGATTTCTTCTTTAATTTTTCTTTTCATTCTCTTTTATTTTCGTTTTGTTTTTTTTAATTTCTTTCTTTTTATTTTTTTATTTTCTTAATTCTTTCCACTTTATTTTAATTAATTAATAATAATAACTAATATATACAAATTAATTATAAGCAATATTATGACTAATTACTATTATTATTATATACTTAAATATACCCAATATATACTAAAAACAAAATTACTATTAATATTTAAAAAAAAAAAGTTAGGAAAATATAATGGAATTAAAATTCACAAAAATAACATCCTTAGGCCACGTGTCACGCCTTCCTTGAGCAAAATGGTAAAATTTGGAAAACCATCCAATTGTGGATGGACACGCGTCTAAATATCATGATACTTGATGATTTGATTCATAGAAACTCCTGATCCCATGTGTTAGAAGATCGATGCAAAGTATGATTATGAAGTTATGATCTGAAAGATGCAGATGAGTGTGAAGCAAAAGCCAGTCAAAGTTAGAAAAAACGAGGGCAAATTTTGGGGTGCAACACACATATCTAATAGTCTTCCAACTGAAATTTCATCCAGAGTAGTTGTGTGCAACAACTTGTAACTGAGATATATTTTGCTTTTGATGTAGACAAAGCAATAGCGGTTTATCTTTTACTAGTTCAGTATATAAGGTTTTCACCTATGAATTAACAATTTCCATTAGTGGATTTTCTCTCAATTCTATTCCCATCATAGTCAGCATCATATAATCCAACTAGCTTATAATCTAGGGATTTTTTTATAAAGTAAACCTATATTGGTTGTTCTTTTCAGATACCTAAAGATCCTCTTAACAACAGTTAAGTGAGTCTCTCTAAGATTTGACTGAAATCTTGAATACAAGCAAACACCAAACAAAATATCTAGTCTAGAAGATTTTAAGTTAAGTAAAGAACCTATCATACCTCTGTACAACTTCCGACAGAATTTGGTGTTATTTCCCTATTTTCTCATATTGCTGATTGAATGCATATGAGTTGTCATGATATTGCAATCATCTAGCTTGATCTTCTTCAGAAGCTCTATTATGTATTTTTCTGATGAATATAAACTAAACTCTTGCATTGATTGATTTGAATACCAAGGAAGAACTTCAGCTCTCCCATCATACTCATCTCAAACTCAACCTGCATTGACTTTGAAAATTCTTTTCAAAGGAAAGCATTAATATAATCAAAGATAATAACATCAACATATACTTGGACAATTAAATATCATTTTTAAGTGTTGGATTTCCTTTTTTAAAAACCATTTTTCTAACAGAAAACTACTCAATCTTTCATATCAAGCTCTGGGAGCTTGTTTAAGTCCATATAGTGATTTCTTAAGTTTGAAAACAAGATCTGGATGGATTAAATCCTCAAACCTAGGTGGATGTTTGACATACACTTCTTCAGAAATAACTACATTTAAAAATCACTCTTAACATCCATTTGGTATATAGTAATATTATGATAAATAACATAGAAGAGAAGTAACCTAATTGCCTTTAACGTTGCAACAGGTGCAAAGGTTTTAGAGAAATCTATACCTTCTTGTTGACTGTAGCCTTGAGCCATAAGTCTAGATTTATTTATTACTAGTTCTCCTTGCTTATTAAACTTGTTTATGAATACCCATTTTGTTCCAATGATGTACTTCCAACTTTTGGACCTCTAGATTTTGAGGTGTCTCCAGGCATACAAGTTTTTGAAAAGATTTGAACTAACTCAATAGTACCTGTTCCAATGATCTTTCCTTTATGGTTCCTCCAAATCCCATATTTCCTTCCTATTTCAGAGTTAGGGTTTGGAACATATGTTATTCTCCTATCTTATATCGTGAGAAACCACTATTTAGGTAGCATGACAACTTCTTTGCTTCTCCCTTGAAGCATATCTATTGAAAAAGTGATTTCAAATTTAGGTATCCATAGTCTTATGGGTCCTTTGGGGTCAGTTCTATTCTTACTTTGTACCTTATCTCTCATTATAGTAAGTCTTAGGATCATTCAAGAGTTTTGATTTATAAGTTTGATGTATTGAATGCATCTTGCCATTTGGTTCTGAACCTTATATCCTAATGTTTTATGTTCTGGTTTCCCTAGAACCTTTGACTTTAGAGTCTCAAGTTCTGGTTTCTTTAAAACCTTTGACTTTAGAGTCTTAGATTCTGGTTTCTTCAAGACCCTTGACTCAACATTTTTATGTTCTGACTGGTTCATAACCTTTGCTTTGTCAACAATAGTTAAAAAAGAGGAATCTAGCCCTTTTTGAGCAGAGCTTGAAGAAGAAGGTTTTGTTAGTTTAAACAAGGTTTCAGACCTTGGATTAAAAGATTTTTTAGAATAACCAAGACCTTATCCTTTGCTTTTACTTACACCATAAATCATGGGTGCAAGTTTTGCTATGTTAAATGCAATTATGATAAACTCTTGAAGAGCCATTTCATGCTCATCAAGAGGTTTATTAGACACTTATTTTACTAGACCAATATGATCACTTTCTAAAGCTTCATTTTTATTTTGAGAAGATTTTAAATCATCTTTCAATAGATCATATTTCTTTTTCAAAATTTTCATATGTATGGATTTTTCTTGAGACTAACCCATAAGTTCTTGAATAAAGGTAATCGAACCAGAACAAAATAGTTTAGAAAATACCTCATCCTCTTTTTCAGAATCTGAGCCAAAATGTGTGTCTGAAGATGTAAGAGACATCAAAGCTACATTGGCTTCTTCCTCATCTTTTTATGATTCATCTTCTTTGTCAAGTTCATTCTATGTTGTCATGATACTCTTTTTGAACTTGTTTCTAAAGCTATCCTTCTGATAGATTCCTTTCTTTGACTAGTTCTTTTACAACTCTAGACAGACAACATGAAATGACCAGACTTCTTGCAGTTGAAATTGTAACACCCTGAATTCATTTAATTAATCAATTTGAATTATATATAATTTTATTTGATTAAGTGGTGTTTTAAATTAATTATTGTGTGATTGTGGGAGTAAGTGTCCTTGAAGTAGAGGTATATAGAGAGAGTAAGAGCTTGACATATTTTTTAGAAATTAATGGGAATTTTAATTAATTATTAGAACATATAATATTTTTATTTGAATTAATTAGATAAATAGAATCATGAGATGAATGATTAAAAATAACATGCGTTATAGAAAAATAAGGAATATTATATTTATTAATAAAATAATAAGAAAATAAGATGTGTAGAGAAATTGAGGGAAAGTGTAATACCCCAAATTTTACCCTTTCTTTTTTATTTTTATTTTAAATTCTTATTAACCTAATAAATTAACCTTTTTTTTTAGATCTTGTTTTTTTAACTAATAATAATTTAATTAAATTTTTTATAACTTTACTAATATTTTTTATTAACTTTTTTTTCTATTTAGTTTATTTATTTAAAGCTCTTCTTACTAACTTTTAGGATTTAGATTAAAATTTAACTTTTTTTTCTTTTCTTCAAGAGTAAATTTTTTATAACCTTTTTTTAAATTAATTTCTAACACATTTTTTAATCAAATTCTAATATTTTTTTTTAAAAATAAAAATCTAACTTCTTTTTAAAATTAAATCTTTTTTCTAACTTTTTTTAAATCTTTTTCTAACTCCTCTTTAAAGTTAAATCTTTTTCTATCTTTTTTAAAATTAAATCTTTTTTTTCTAACTATTTTTAAAGCTAAATCTTGTTTTCTAACTTTAAATCTTTTTTTTCTAACTTTTTAAAATTAAATCTTTTTTTCTAACTTTTTTAAAATTAAATATTTTTTTCTAACCTTTTTAAAACTAAATTTTTTTTTTTCTAACTTTTTTAAAATTAAATTTTTTTTTCTCTAACTTCTTTTTAAAATTAAATCTTTTTTTCCTCTAAATTCTTTTTTAAAATTAAATCTTTTTTTTTTCTAACTATTTTAAAAATTAAATCTCACCTTTGTCACTTTTTTTGTTCTTTATTATTTTTACTCTAAATTTTTCTATCTTTCATTAAAAAAATAACAAAAATAGTTTTTTATTATTATTTAATTATTATTTTCGTATTTTAATTAAATCATTTTTTAAAATATTATTTTTTTCACTTTTTTCTAAATTATTCATAAAAATATCCAAAAAATCATAAAATAAAAAAATATTAAAAAATTTTGTTCCTTTTATAATATTTTTTATTTTAGGAATCAATAGGATTATTAGTTTTTATTTTAAGTTTATTTTAATTATTTTAAATTATTTAAATTTTATTTTTTCTTAACTAATTATTTAGTTTGGGCTTTAAAATGGGCTTTAGGGACATTATTGACAATTTGGTGTTAACCCTAATTTGTTCCCTATATATACATGTGTTGCCTTGTTGGAAAAGGGGGAGAGAATGAAAAAAACTAAGAGGGGTCAGAAGGTTTTCTTCAGAAAAGAGGAGAGAGAGGGAGAAACAAAGGAGATCCCCAGAGAAGAAAGGCGGTCGTTCCCACAACTCTTAAGAAGGATTGGAGCTCTCCAGTGTTCCCTTATTCAAACCTTTTTCACATTTACCGAAGCAAACCTCCGCTTCGTAGGTTAAATTACTAAACCTTTTGCCTTTTCATGTTTATGTGCATATTTTGCC